TACTACGCTTCTTTACCATGGCATCTGCCAATTCAATTTTGTCCTAAAAAATGTATACACATCTCTAAGATTTGTTGCCAACTAAAAAGCAATTAAAAAAAAAAAAAAAAAAAAAAAAAAAAAAAAAAAAAAAACTATTGTTAATCATCCTTTAAAACTGCTAATAGTTCATGATCAAATTTTCATCAGAATTCCGTTAGTTTAAATCAACGATCACATAAGACCAATAGATGGAGCACATCTATATAACTCACATACAAGCAGTTGAAGCCAGGTCCGCCATCTTAGTGCAGGTTAGAAGTGGTAGATGCCAATGAAAACGGCACCAAAACTCAATATCCAGCTTCAAAATAACTTGGCATTTAGACTAAAGGTAAATCGTTGACACTTCGTGTGAAAGATGTCAATTAGTCTAGGACACTATTGGTTCTAATTAAAAGCTCAAAAGTTTATATTTTCTAATTTAAATCTTGAAATAAAGTCGGTACTTTTAAATGAGTTTTTAAATATGACATAACAAAGTTCGTCGGCTGCTACTGTTTTTATTTTTTCTTCGTCAGGTAAGTAAAAAAACGGTGGATTTTGTGGCTAAAGAGCTCAATTTCTTGGATAAAATTTTTTTTTAATTTTTATAAAGGAGAGTTGTAAAAAGAGTTTCAGAAACCATCTTATGACTTTGAAAATTTTTACATTGTAAACCAAACGCTAAACCTTTAACACACTTTAATACGATATAGATACATATATTATAAATTAATTTGTAGCTTTTTAGAATTTTTCTTTCGCCCAACAAGTTTTTGTAATTATTGTAAACAAACTTTTTCTAAGATACGGTAAACGCTAGGAAACAAATTAAAAGCGTATTTTAAAGGCCATTGTTCAACCGTCATGAATTGTTACATACCAACCTTTAGGGCCCATTGGTGACATTGGAGGGTGGAAGTCTAAATTTAGTTCATTACAATTACGTCAATGGAATGACCTTGAGCTCTGCTAGTAAGATGCTGTGGTATGGTAGCGTGTCGGGGAGAAGGGTAAAATTATTGTTCATGCTTACTCATTCGCTCTTACCCACAAACAAATTTATTTCAAGCCAAAAATGAAGAATGTAGATCTAACTTCTATATTCGTTTGGAAAACGTCAGTAAGAGGCAAGTCTAGACTGTTCCTATGTCTGCGCGGTCCATCACTAGTTACTTTCTTTACTTTTTTTTTTGAAAGCCTATGTGTCGATTATGTATCTTGAGCAATGTAAAATCAAGATGACGTTGTTCAAACTAAGATATAAGTTTGGACTTCCTTGTGTGACCAAAATGGTCGCCTACAGAGCAACAGAAGAATCTACAATTTCTTATAAAATCAGTTTTATTGACGTTTGCAGACAGTTTTATATAATTGTTTTAAGGAAACCCAAAATCTATTGGCAATCATAAGTTAAAATGATTTGAACTTTTTGCCTTATACAAATGAAATACCATGTGCATATTGGTCCTCTGGTCCTGTTAATACAATTTTTTGAAGGGTTTCTTTTATAATTTAAAACTATATCATTGCACAAGCATTTTCAAGGACTCTCTGCAGTTTTGCGTACTCTTGCAACTACTAATTCAAGAATCAGTTTGATGACCGATTAAAAATAATGTGTTTATACGTTATAAAGATTCAACTGTTAAATATCATAGTTTTTTAGGGTGGGACTGGAAATTTAGACTATATTAAAGATTTGCATTCATAGTAGAACATTATATACTTTAAGTAAACCAACAGAAAAAGATTGTTTAAAATTTTCAAGTTCATTTTAGAACAAACTGTTTACTCCGCCTCCTAGTTAACTGAGAATTTCAAGAAGTAAAAACATATTAAATAAATAATAAGTGAAGTTAAATATATCCCACAGTGATTTTAAAAAACATTACAGTACACAAACTTCACGGATGCCAATATAACTTCTAACAACCTTACTAGGAATTTCCTAAAACTGATATTGTACGTTGAAATAGGTTTATCTATCTATCTATTCTATTCTATATTCTATACTATTATGAAGAAGAGGGGGTGTCTGTGTGTGTGTTTGTATGAGCTAATCTCAAAAAATACTGATCCGACTATGCTCAAATTGCACACAAATGAAGCTACAGCTCCGAGGATACATATGGAACTATTGCCGCTTCGATATTCACCTAGGGCTTTGCCCCGTGGGCTTAAAAAAATCTGAGATGAGAGATTTAAAAGTAAATATTGATTGATGGTATCCATGGTAACAAAGAAAAAACCTAGTACTGTAAGTTTAAAAATATAAACAAGCAGAACTAACCAACTGTCAAATTGATTTTGATTTCACAATTCAACACAGCTGGTTCAAACCTTATTAAATACTGCACGAATATTAGAACAGAGGGGGTAAGGATTATAAATTTAAAATAATGATGTCACTAGCCTGAATGTAAACATTATTTAACATTACCTAAAGGAGCTGCCAAACCATATGTAAATGTAATTTCATTATTATAGGATTGTTTCGGTAACTGTACTTCATTTGTTTATGATCTAACTATACTGAGTCTGTTTGTTAATTATACTTAAATATACTTAATTTTGTGAAATGTTGTAATAATATTTATTTATTTTTATAATAATTCATTGTAAAAGAAATCATTCGATGGATATAGGAAATAATCAACATTCTATATTGCCTTATCAACCTAGGCCCTTATCCTGAGCTATGAGGTATATTCTTTTGATTTATTTGTTTGTAAACAGTAATATAATCCCCCTGCCCCAACAAACCTATAGACTGAGCGAATTCCCGTTTGCCTGATTATAATTTCACTAAAATATGTTAGAAAATTGCCCTATTATTATGTTTGGAACTATTGTAATAGGTTTTTGTTTACAGTGCAAACCATTAAACACATTCTTTTATTATAGGTATATGTGTGCTACACTATAGGATACCGTATAAATTAAAAGACCATATTTTCTTAAACCGTTTCCTCTTCCATCACTGCAATGATCATGTTCTACTTATATGCCAACCCCGTACGAAGGACGGGTATTCTACTAGTTATTAATAAAGTTGAGAATACTAAAGGTTCTACAAAACAAAACATTGAATAATAAAAATACAATTGTATGAAAGTAACAGATAGATTGACAAAATTGTAAAACGATCGTATAATATCTAACAATATCAAATTATTTACAGTATCATGGTTACAACTTTTAAACTACTTTTGTTATGACTCAATGTTAACCTCTTTAGGACCTTTCATTTCATGCTTTTGTTAGTGGGGACTGGTTAAAACACCACAGTAGGTTTTACAAATATGATTGTGAGATGATATTATAATCTGAACTAGATTATGCGTGTTGATAATAATATGTATTTTAATTTAAGTACTTTAATTGATTCGGTTATATGTTTACCTCATATAACATTTGAACATGGATTGAAACATTAGATGTCTTTGGAATACTCTGAGAGTGAGAAGCAAAACATAACTTTCAGCAATGATGCATCGAAATCTACCTTTACTGACTGATTCAGAAATGTAATTGCAAAATATTTTGTCAACATGACTAAAATGTTAAAAAAATAGATGTATCAGCACGAAATAGTTTGTAAGATAAAAAAAACAGTCTAGGACAACTTATATAGCGTTCTAACCTCAAACATTGTTATTGTTTCAGTGTACAAATTCAATTGATACAAAATAACTACGTTACCAATTTATGTTTGTAAAAAAAATCAATTTTTTTAATGGTTGCGTAATAGCTATTTACATTACAAGTGTAGTAAGAGCGTTTTTACTTCACGCAGGTGAATGTTGTGCAACGAGCGGAAGCGAGTTGCATAATTCACCTAAGTGATGTAAACAGCACTCTCTTGCGTAACGTGTAACGTACAAGATTTTACCTGACCCGACAATAAACATGGGTTTACGTACAATATTTTTCATTTTCCATTTCACTCATCTTCTATCAGTAACGTTCTTTTACTAACAAAAGCTAGGTTAGGTAGGAAAATACTTTAAAGCATAATAATAACACTCAAGCGCACAGCTGATTTCTAGCGTTTAACATCGTTGGCTCCATAGAGTTATATTTTTTAAGTTAAGCACTCAATGTTATTTAAATGGGTTTCTTTACATCACCGAGTGAGTTTTTGATACTTTCGAGAAGTAAGGAAGTTGTATACATCACGCTTGGGATAGGGAAGTTTAACATGGCGGGTTAGGTAAAATCAATTTAAATTATTATTTACTACACAAATTATTTGTAATGTAAAACATTGTTCATCACTCTGAGCAAAAGTATATTATTTATGGTACTTAAATTGTTTTATAGTACGTGGCAGTATAGTATTATTAGTTTATTAGTTGCTTGTTGCACTGTTCTACACACTGCTCAAGCTCTACAACTCATTAAGTGGCATCCTGTCCACACACTGTTGATATATACTGAATTGTGGCATGGTGCCACTATTTCGAGTGTAGGCTGGCGCGAGAATTGGCAACGTAGCATTTGGAAAGTTATAGTTCCGGCGGACGGCGCGAGGCGCGCTAGCTACCTGTATGGTTTCGTGTTCCACAATTCGGTGTGTACCTGCGCTACTTAAACTCACATCAACGAGTTCAAAAATACTCAATTGTGGCATGTGATGTTTAAACGACGTAATAATGCTGGAAAACCTCAAAAATGATCGAATTAGCTGTGGCACCCTGAAAAAGGTGCCACAATTTTTGAAGGTGCCACAGTACGGCCGTGTGCCTGTGAAGGATGCCACTATTCGGTGAATACAAACACACACACACAAACATCACTTCGAAAACCACTTTTTTAGGTCCAGGGAAACCCAAAACGAATATATCCACTCAAAACTCAAACTCGAAAATTTTGACGAAAACAATACTTTCTACATATACTATGGTATAGGGGGAGAAAGTAAAAAGACACGTTTACATAAACAAAATTATGTTAAAATAAAAACCTAACAATACCTGATTCTTCTCTGCCAGCAAAGTTGTGACTATGTTGGCAAAGGCATGGCGGGGAACAGTGGTTGGAGGGGAGGGGGGAGCTGGTTCCCCCGCCTCCTGTATGGAGGGGAAGCTTGGTTTGTCCAATGAGAGATCGTTCTTTTGAAGCCCTGGGGTGCCGGTGCTACTCGTCCATCTGCTGTTTAACATTTAACAGAACTAAGTTTTAAATACATATCAAATGCATTGCTAACAGTTGTAAATTTTAAATTAAAGATTTTGGAATATTTGTTGACACTTAAAAATATATTTCAATCTGCCAGTGTTCATAAATGGAATTCTTTCTTGAGTAGCACTAACATTTTGAATTACTCATCTTCCATTGTTGCTTGTAACCTTATACTCTAACTGGCTAGTTGCTATACGTTCTATGTTTATTTGTTGTATGCACATGTTTTATGTGTGTATTTTCGATGATTTCAACAGATCTGGCTACATTGGCTAGATGACACATTCATTAAGATGTTCCTGTGACACCTCAAGATAGACTCAAGAAGTCTGAAATCATGGGTAGTAATGTAACACTAGTAAATTTATAAAAAAACTATTCTTGAATAAACCATTAATCCAGGGGCCAATTCATTACATGATAGTTTACTGTTTGAAACAGTCAAAACAAAACTTCATACTGCAATATACGACCAAGCAAGCAAGTTAAAAATGTGTTTTGCTCTCTAAAAGGATGACATTGAATATCTCATTAACTAACACAAACAATAGTTAATTATTGGAAGGAATTAGTACCTGTCGCTGTCAGTAAGACTGGAGGGAGGGCTTTCTATGAGATCTCCGTCCCGACTGAAAGTGAAAGACTGCTGTCCGATGATGATTCTCTTCCGACTCACTTCTGGTGATCTACAACAACAATCACATTACAGATGCTATGTTATCAAGACTGCTATGAGACAAAAACTATTGAATACTGCAATATCACACAGTGGTTTGGCTATTTTAGTTAATTTACATGGACCATTTACATGGTTTATTTACATGGTTCCGTGTGGATTTCCACACGGGTTTAGAATTGTGTAATGTTATGAAAGGTGCAAACTTTGGTCATGTTGTATCTTACTTAATGTTACTCAGACTCTCAGACTTGTTATGAGGATAAAAAAAAATGATTCTCACCGTTTTTATGGTTGCAAATCTGTTCTTAATGGCTGTAAACTATATGAGATTACTTGGACAACCTCTGAGCTTTCCTCACATTATCTGAATGAATATATAATACAGTAAATGATAAAGGTGTGAAAGCATGAGATTTTGATCAAGTTGTGCTTTTATATTTATCATTCATTTGTGGCAAAATAAATAGTATTCAAAAAATAAATATATTGTCAATAGCAGAGAAACCACAAACATCCTGTGAGGCCGTGGGAATATATTATTGTACCCTGCGATCACAGGCGAAGCATGAATTTTTAAACCGTACAATCTTCTAGTTCTGCAGTGGCGATAAGCAAAGCATTAGTAAAAGCTCGGCTCAAGATCAATTTTCTGACTTGGTGTTCGCTCATTCAAATGCGTAATAGATGAGCTCTGTACTCATTTAGGTGTAAGTGTGAATGAGAAGTGTGACTGTGTAAATAAATGTGTAAATAAACGGGAACAGATGCATTGATGGTCCTGGGACACTCCGGGGCTACCAGCTGCCCGTTGGTCACAGAGAGAGTTGGTAGCGTAGCCGTTTAGACATGACCCTAGGATAGATAGCAGTAAGACATGTAATAAAGAGTGAGTGAGTGAGTGAGCATGTGTCATTTTATATGTGTGCTTTTATATATGAGCTTGGCTGGTTAATGTATATTTTTAGATTGTTAAAGAACTTTCTCTACTGACCACACAACTTGATCATTTGGTCAGTTATATTTCCAATGATAAGATTGTTATTACTTTGTAATTTTTTAACAGAAATAAAATAATTTATTCAATTAGCATCCACTGGGATATAGTACCTGGCCAGTTTTACTACCTAAACCTACACCTAATGTCTTTACAAATGTTGACAAACTCTTAATATTTTTTACTGCACAATAATATCTAGGTATGTTATCTTTGTAAATTGGTGTATTGCCGTTGGTAAATAAATAACACAGGAAACAACTATTTTGTTGGGTAATTACTAATTTTTCCTCTTTTTGAACTTTGTGATCTAGATACAGCTTGTTTTCGTTTCACCCTCATTTGTTTACATGTACTATTGATCACAGTTTATAATATTTACATAAGATTCAGCAAGATAAATAAAAATATATGATGTTATAGGTTAATGGAATGGGAATACATGATTTTGTTTTTACATTTCTTACCTTTGGTTTTGACTGTCCAGCCATGCTCGATTGTCCGGTGTCAGAACCGAATTCCCTGGGCTCCTATAAAACAAAGGATGTTAAAAATTAACTTTGCATAAAACATACCTTAAGCTAAGAGTGGGTGTTATTTAACATACTAGGATACTAGCCTATTACTGAAGTGTCACCATCTCTAGCCTGAAAACCTGGGTATTAGGTATTGAGAATACCCGTATTACTTTGGAAACCATTATGAACGGTTTAAAAGAACGAATGAAATAACTATCAAACTGATTGCGTATTCCTATTAACAGCAAACATCATAAAATAAAATAATAGTACCTTGGTAATAGATTACTGAAAATACAAATATTTTAGTAATAACAGAGGTCTAAACTGTTAGAACGAATGAGTGAAATAACGCTAATCCTGTCTTCCTATTAACGGTGAGCATCATTGTGGTACCTTGGTAATACGATTATTTTTGTAACTTCGTCTGAACTGTTAGAACTAGGGAGTGAAAAAAACACTAATCCTGTCTTCGTATTAACGGCAAGTGGCTGTTACGTCCTTGAAGAGGAAGTAGTAGATGAAAAAAAATAGTAGCCTTTTTTTACCTATTACCAAAAAGCTACAAAACTTACAACTATTATTTCAAAGTAATGGAATTTCCCATCTTTAATGCATTAAAAAAGTCCTTGATTCTTTTTTCACAATTGACTACCATGTGTTTGTTCCATAATCAGCTACCTAGTATGAGAATGATGGCCTTGCGCATCCTTTATTGTTTGGACCTATTTCTTTTAGCACAGTTGTCTAGTCAGTTAAGTCGTCCAAGGAGTAGGTATTGTAGGTGTATGCAGCACTCACTTGAGGTTGGTGATGACGTTGCGCGCCGCCCGGGTGAAGCGATTGTTGCGGTCAGTGTTTGTAGAAACGTGCGGGGGCGATGCGACCGAGCAGTTCTCTCTCTCGTGCTCGCGCAGCTTCTCCATAATCTTGGCAACGATCACTGAAGGCATCGTATGAGAAGGACCTGCAAACCGAACAGGATGAACTTTATTTAGATTAGATTTCTATATTTGGGTGTGTATTTTAAAGCTAAGATAATTGGAGAAATAATGTTAAATGCATAAGATACTAGCTTTGTAAATGACTAAAATTAGGAGGTTCTTTAAACCAGGACCATTGAAGAGCTCAATGATCAAGCACAGCTTGTTCAGTTTAAAACCATCAAAGAGCTACTAGCTTTTCTCAGCATCAAACCAACAACCTTTCATTGATAGGAGATGAAAAAAGCATTAAGCTCAACAGGAACAACAAAAGTTGGTAATATTTTGGCTCAAAATTTTGTGGTGTGTTTCATGAAAGGAGATATTGAATAGGGCCTAAGTGTAGTTCTACTTGCCTACATTTTGCGACTGGACTCTTATGGGTTATTGTAATTATGTAAAAATTAATTATTACTTTCCATTTGAATGCATAAGAAAATCTATTTTGTAAAGAATGCAAAGATTAACTAATGTATGAGATGAAGGATGTAAATCAATCTCAAGACTATAATTTAAACGTTTACTAAGTAGATCACAAGAAGACACTGGTTTTTGTTTTTATTTGAGTAAAATTCTGTAAACATACAAAACAAACAATATTTAAGTAATTGTATTAATTTATAATAAACTAATAAGTGATACAGACTAAAAACAAAACACACATGCATTTTCACATTCTCTATTGCCAGTGCAAATGACAATTGAAAATTAAAATATAGGATGTCTGATATGTTTAAGCGTCAAATAAGTTAAAAGATAAGAATAAGAAATGAAAAAAAAATCTCAGTGTATGGTAACGAAAACCAGTGGTTAAAATCACAAAAGAAAAACATGTAAAACGTATTTTCAACAGACCAAAAAATAAAAAACGAATGAGTGTGGTTACCGATAGTTTCAATATTTGAATAAATGTGTATAGGAGAAAAAATATACTTAAAAATATAAAAAAAAAACACACAAAAACTACGAGTCATGCTGACTCACGTCCTGCGGCTTGTGGTAGGAAGGATCAAACTGTTAGCTCCTGGAAACAGGATCACACTTAAATTGCAGTTTGCAGTCTATATTAGATAAATAGATTACAGTCTGTATTACATAAGCTGTCACATCACAATATTCACAATGTATGTATTCTTGGTTAACAGTTAGTCTCAACTCTTGTGGTTTACTCAGTGAAATATTAGATATCTAAACTTTCACAGCCATTTTGGTTATTTAACAACTTTTTAAAACTATGTATTAATATTGATATCACTTATAGTAATATTTTCCTAAACATATGTATATTTAATACAATATGGGTTTTCTCTGTTACATCCTTTTTCCAGCTGTCCAACGTAACCAATTATTATAATTGAGGTGTCATTTTTTTATGTATATTGAATGTTTAACGACAATCAGGTTGTAAACAAGAGACAACGGGGTTTATGAAAACGGATTTTAAATAGGCTACTTTTTGATGATTGAACGAATCTAATTATGATGTAGATCTCAAATCAACAAATTTAATGTATTGTAAATTAGTAATTGTGTTTACCTAATAACTGTCTTAAATAAACATGTTTGAAAATTTAAACTTTATTGCATTATTTATTTTACCTCAGCAACACATTTTGAACCCCCGGCTCGAACTTAAAAATGATCTCGAGTCAGCAAAACTTCATTTTTGGCCGTAGGTACGAAATATATTATTTCCTACAGTTACCTGACAAAGTGGGCTTCTTGCACTGATTATAGCACGCAAAGTAGCTAATTGCCGCACTTATTTTTTTGCAGCGCTTTAGTATTCCAACCAAATAACACAAAACATAATACGAGTAATCTTTAAACTAAGTTGGCAACACTTAAAGATACTATGATCCCAAGAACGACAGCAGGACGGGAGGACTAAATTTGGTTCTTAACTTGGCCTAAGCCAACGACTCCCTTCTTTCAGTTAAGTTAGGAGTTTTCTATTACTCGATTACACCAGCAGAAATTTCACAATTTACTACTTAACACTACCCTTTGCTTGTTCTAAGTTTTTTATAACCTTGAATTTTCCTGTCCACATAGGCCTGTGCGTGAAACATATCCAGCAAAGCAAGGGGTGAGCCGGTACTGATAAAAAGTAGTGACAAAAACCAGGATCCGATCCCAAGACATTGCTGCCTTGCGCTCAAAGTTTTGTGGCGCTACCGACGAAGCCACCAACTCACCAAACATTTGATAGAAACATGATTTTGATAAAACATTATTGGGACATGACTTAATCAGTTGGAGTACAGAAACCAAAACTCGTGAGATAAAGTAAAAAAAAAACCTTTGACTGGTCTTTATCTTTTATAGATGAATCTTATGGTTTGTATTATGACGCAGCTAAGTAGAAAATCGTGGTTTCATATGGTTATGCTGCTCTCTAGACTTTTCTGGGGCTTTGGAACATGACCAAAATCAATAGGAGAATCCAGATCAATTGAAAAACAGAAATCAAAACTAATCGAATAGAGCAAACGAGAAACTACATAAATTGTACGGCCAAACTTATTCACCAAAAATGTTAGCTCAGTGACACACGTCTTAACGTGATCCGCATTAGTTTAGTGATATTGCTGGCTCAAGACCACAGTCATGGACTATTTGATCCCTGTTGTCACCGCTGACTAGATCATGCGACTTACACTTATACTGTGACAGTGCTTTGCTGTCTTATTGCACAGAACAGTACGAGACACACCTACTGTATTGTAAAGGATAGATAAGTTTTTGTTTCACTTTTAAGAAACATAAAATAAAAAAGAACATTTATGACTCACCAGATAGTCCTCTATAACCGTAGAAGCCAGTCTCAAAATTGGTGACCACCTCCTGCTGGTGTCTGAGAAAGTCGTCGATGGCGACCCCCTTCAGTTTGCTAGGCTGCAGGAACCGCTGGGGTATCCGACACTCAGACGAGGCTGCACCTCCAAACCCCAGTGAAAACAGAACCTCCTCAGGGTCAGGGCGTCGAGCCTCCAGCAACGACTCTACGCTGCTACAATGGCTGTCACTCTCACTGGGCTCTTGGTGGCTACAGAACAATGTTGTGAATCAGAAACATTATCACACAGCTTTGTGGTATCAAAAATGGGGGGTGTTTCATAACGTAACAATTTTACTAATGGTCCAAAAACATTTTAGTTCCAATTGGTCAAGATTAGAGGGACTACTACTTCACTAAGGTATGTACCAATGATAAATAATATAAATAGGTCAACATTATTTAACTAACAAGCAAAGCGCTTTATAATTCGGAAGATAGGTATAAAAACAATTACCATACAAGTAAATATTGTCCCTCAGTTTTTAAACTTACATCAGAAAAATGTATAGACATAGACCCTGTATTGATGACATTTATTTTGATAAGCATGAAATTGTTTTAATTTAATTCCTACCAAAGTTACTTCAAACCAACATAATATTTATCTATTCATACCTGGTGACTTGGACGGCTGGAGGCAGTGGACCACACATTAAACCCGCTGCAACGTACACAATACATGTATAAATAAATGGTATCATAAAACTTACATAATTACAAGATTTTTCTTTCTATTTGTTGTCTAATAGGGGATAAATACATGCATGCAAATGCATTAACATTTTGGTTCTCTTTAATTTACTACCAGAAGAAGACCAGGACTAAATACCTACTAGAGTAATGTTTTGTGACTTTTATTATGTAGGTATCTACAAATCATCCCAAAACTCAACATTGTTTGACGAAAGCTAGCTGAGCTATACATACCAAACAAATAGCTAAACAGAGATTAACTACTTTTGGCGAATTTCCCATATAGGGAATAAGCCCTACATTTATTCGAACGAGTTCGCAAATTAGCATGATCGGACTATGGGAACGGGGTTTTATGGGGTAAAAATTTGTTTTACTCATTTTTTGACAAAAGAAAACCATAAAATTTAGCAAATTCATTCCAAACAATTTTGTAGAGCTTAAAAAACAAATAATTTAGTATATTAAAGTGTTATTATGCGCCTAATGGCTATGGAGAAAATTCCAAAAAAATCTTAAATTTAAAATTCCCATGTTATTCTTATGGAGAATAAGTAAACTGGTGTAGTTTGCTTGTTTATGAACATATTTTGATCAAATTTGGAAAATGCATTTATTTCTTACCAAACTATTAACATAAAAAAAACTGTTTTACCCTCCCAGTTGCAGCAAACTATGTAGGTCTACTATGTACTAGTTAAACTAATTCTGTTTAAATAGGGAATAAATGTGTTTTTTTATGGAGACATTTTTGTGTAAATCCAATCAGGCAAATGGAAATTCGCTTAGTCTGCAGGTTTGCTGCGGCAGGGGTATTTTATACAAGTTACCTGTTTCTTTTACAGTACACTCTCGATTAACCAAGGTTGTTGGAACCGAAACAACCGACAACCTCGGTTACTGAGAATCTCGGATAACACGGAGATCTCTTGGATTTTGAGGTAAAGCTGGGTTTTCCTAGGCGCGGAAGCGGAGAGCGGGAGAGGAACGCAGAGAGCGGAAGAGAGATTAACACGGTGTTCCGCTCCGCTCCTAGGAAAACAGTAACATTAAATTACCTAAAACAAGTGGAGTCCGCTCTCCACTTCCGCGCCTAGGAAAACCCGGCTTTAGGGCTACGGTATATCTTTAGGAAGTAAAATACTTGTAAAATATATACAATTGGTATTTTGATAGCCTACAATTTTTCTTTAATAATGTGTGTTATGAAAGCTGTGTTAACTAGTGTTATAAAAAAAAAAACGGTAACTCAAACTTGCTCCACACTTTTTAAAATGTCTTATGCTATATTTATTTTAACAAATAACAAATTACTAGCTATTTTTACTGTACTGTCTTGTACTGTTAACAGAGACATTTGTAATAACATAATTATTGTTTTCCGAAAATAAAAACACATATAGGCCTAAAACAACCTCGTACCAACCTGAAGGGTATAACCGGGGTTTGGAAAATCGAGAGTGAAGTGCAAATAAAACTCATTATGAATTGACCTAAGGATAGGTTTTAATAAACTCTGAAGTCAAGTAAGATTTGTAACATACAAATACAAAATGTAAATAGTAAACAAAGAACAACTGTGAGACAATAAAGAAATTCATAAATGAAATAAGGAACAATAACAGTTCATATGTATAAAAATATTATCACATTCTTCCCACCCTAAAACGAGACGTAGTCTTTTAGATAGTTAGGTCTTTGCCGTATACGCTGTGGATGGGTTTTGGAAGGCACTGAACTTGAGTCTTTGCAAGAACTGTTTGCATGTTCAACTGGTACATTCGTGTCACTTAATGTCCCACTAGAATCATTTTCGTCTTGTTCTTGATCAAATGAAACCTCCGGTTCTTGAATAGCTTGTTCATTCCCATCTGTTTCTGGCAATTGGTAGTCTGTTTCTAAAGATGATTGTCCAGGTGCTGGGGCCAGATCTCTTATGGATACTGTCTTCTCTTGTCCATTTGGGAGTTTCACATGAGCATAACCTGGATTTGCTTGAATAAGTTCTACCTCTTCTACAAGTGAGTCATACTTGCTGGATCTGTTGTGCTTTCTCAACAGCACTGGGCCGGGTTGTGACAGCCAGCTAGGAACTGAACCTCCATAATACGATCTTCTGGGGTGCTTAAACATCAGTTCATGAGGTGTTGTATTGGTTGATGTACATAATAATGATCTTATTGAGTGAAGTGCTTCAGGAAGAACTGATTCCCAATACTTTACGGGTAGGTCTTGGGTTCTGAGAGCAAGCATAACAGTCTTCCATATAGTGCCATTGAATCTCTCTACTTGGCCATTCCCTCTAGGATTATAAGCAGAAGAGTGACTTGACGCAACAGCATGAGTTTGTAAGAAAGACTTTAATTCGTCTGACATTAATGACGTTCCTCGGTCTGAATGAATGAATGAAGGCATACCAAAAATTGTAAACATTTCTTTCAGTTTCCCAATCACGGTACTGGAAGTCATGTCTCTACAGGGGAAAGCAAATGGATATCGCGAATACTCGTCTACAACAGTTAATATGTATTTATTTTGTGTAGCACTTGGAATTGGTCCTTTAAAGTCTAAGTTCAGTCGCTCAAAAGGTGCTGTAGCTTTGATTAACGTACCTTCATATTTACAAAACCTAGGCTTAAGTTCAGCACAAACTCGACATTGAGCTGTAGTACGACGAACTTCTTCCAGTGAAAAAGGTAAGTTTTTCGATCTAATCCAGTGGTAAAATCTTGTCACTCCCGGGTGACACAGACTCGTGTGGATATCATTTAAGTTTGGACGACCACAAATCGTTCCACACAATCGTGACATGGTGTCTGCAACTCCATTTTCCTCGCCTGGTCGATATACGATATCATACTTGAAACAAGACAGTTCTAAACGCCAACGTTGTATCTTTTCATTCTTTATTTTTCCAAATCTTTTATTGTCAAACATGAAAGAAACTGATCTTTGGTCTGTAATGAGTAGGAATGGCCGGCCAATAAGATAGTGTCTCCACTTCTTAAGAGATTCTACGATTGCTTGAGCTTCTTTTTCAACAGAAGAATGGTTCTTTTCAGATTTTGATAATGTTTTCGAATAAAAAGCTACTGGACGTCCTGCTTGTGACAAGGTTGAGCCGATTGCAAACTCAGATGCATCGGTCTCAACTGTAAATGGTATGTCATTTTGGATTGGGGCTTTAGTTGCAGTTACTATTTCATTTTTCAATTCATTGAAGGAGTTAATTGCTTCTTCTGATAATGGAAAACTTTTAGTCGATGAAAGGGGCTGAATCTTCTCTGAAAAACTCTTGATAAAGTCTGAATAATGAGCGATCATGCCCATGGTTCGACGCAATGATTGGACATCATGAGGAAGTGGTAGTTTCAATAGCGGCTGAAGACGGTCTGGATCAGGACGGATTTCGTTCTTTGTTATTACATATCCTAACAGATGGATTTTGTCTTGTGCAAAAGAGCATTTTTCCATGTTCAGAGTTAAGTTGTACTTCTTGGCTACATCAAAAAACTTTTTCAAATTTGTATCATGTTCATCTTTATTCCTCCCTCCAACTGTTACATCGTCCAGGTAAGCTACAGTGCATTCAAGTCCTTCTTTTTGTATGATCGAATCAATTTCTCTTTGGAAACAGGAGACGCCATTCGTAACACTAACGGTGGTTGGAAAGATTGTTATTCCCCTCTTTTCTACTAGAGATTTACTAATAAATGTTTCCGAACTACCAGTATCAACTAAGGCATCAGTTTTAATCCCATTTACTTCAATCGTAATAGTAGATTTAGATAAAGATTTAGGTGCTGCTGCACATGTAGCTGGATTTTTGTTGAAAGTTTTTCTAGAGTCAAGTTTTGTATGAGGTAATGAATTACTTCCTGACTTACAAACCTTCATGAAATGTCCTTTCTTGCCACAATAATGACAAATATGATTTGCAGCAGAACATTCACTTCTAGTATGTTTATACTGGAACCACAGAAATAACATTTCCAGGAAGTGGCTGATAAACAAGTTTCCTCTGCATTATTTGAGGACATGTTACTTTTGACAGATTCTGGTTCTGAAGTAGTAGAATGTTGCATGCAATATAATTGAGAATGTTGCTTGTTATAAGATTCTGATTGATACTGAGCTAATTCCAAAACTCTAGCTTTCTCAAAAGCCTCATTCAAAGTTAATGTTTTATTTTCTAGAAGTCTTTGTCGGATAACTGGGGAAATCAAACCTCTGATAAATGCATCACGAATATAGTCATTTAAATAAATAAATATAGGATGGAGAGGACACAGCTAACTCACCTGATGAAAGGTTGCAGATGAGTCAAAGAATCCATAACCTCACCGAAGCCGAGAAAAAAGCCATTTCAACTTTAAAATCAAATACTGATATCATGATCCTTCCAGCTGACAAAGGCTCGACCACAGTGATAATGAATAAATCTGATTATGTGTCAGAAATCCAACGCCAGCTCAGTGATTCTTCCACCTACCTCCCTCTAAAAGAAGATCCAACTATAAAGTACACCGCTGAACTCAAGGAAATAATTTACAAACACTCCAAATCCAACAATATCTCCCCAGAAACAACAAATCTGTTAATACCAGAAGAACCCATCTGCCCTAAAATCTACATATTACCAAAAATCCACAAAGGCATAACACCACCGCCAGGAAGGCCCATAGTATCAGGCTGCGGTTCTTTAACGGAACGTATCTCTTCATACGTAGACGCCTATCTACAACCGCTAGTACAAAACTTGGCCTCATATATCAAGGACTCCAATGATTTTTTGCAAAAACTTAACAATGTCAGACAACCACTCCCCGCTAACACTCTCATGGCCACTATTGATGTCACCTCACTCTACACAAACATACCTCATGTCCACGGCCTAACAGCAACAGAAAACTACCTTCAAAACAGACCCAAAGGATCCCTACCCACCACTTCGTTTATAACTCAACT